ATTGAGCTGGTTGGGAGTTGGCTTTTCCAGAATATATCTTTTATTATGTATGCGAGGTCGATTTGCTCAATGGGCATGCATTCTTAAAGTTTCTACCAGGGTAAATCCCTTCTATTGATATTTGTCAAGCCCCATAAAGCATGATCCCCAAAGAGCTATAATAATTGCCCTGAGTGGAGACGTTATTAAACTAATAATTTACATGGACACACATTGTCGTTAAAAACAATTTCGTGCTCATAAACATTAAGCCATGGAGATTTATAAGCAGGCTGGGGGCTTCCTCTCCCAAAAAACCTGGTCATAAACATATTTAAAGCGATAAAAAGGTCAGAACCCCATTCCTATCCCCATTCTTCTAACTGCTGTTCAGCTCGACGTAAGTAAACTTATTGAATGTCTAAGTTTAGCTTTTCCGTTTGTTGACCGCCTTCTGCTTGTTTTCATTTCATTTTTATGACAACGTTTAGAAATTTGTTGTACATTTTCCCGTTGCTGCTGTTTGTCTTTCCACTGCCGCCTTTTGGCCACATTTAGCCGAATCCTCGACCCCCGATTCCCTGTATTGACATTTGATCTTTATGTTGGCCCTGTTGGATGCTCGTGTGTCGCTTTGTTTGTCTGCAGGCATCTTTTTATGACTCGAGTGTGTTTGCCTTTTGGCTTTTGTGCATGCCATAAAAAGCGGCGACAAGAAAAAGCGTCTTCTGGCCAGGATTCCGGGTGTGGGTGCCACCAATATGAGGTCATCTGTTATGAACGCCTTCGACTGACTTGAGAAGCCCTTGGGCAAATAGAACTTGGGGTCGCGGCAGGCTGGCTAAAGATGCCAACTCCCAATGAGTTTCACTGCGAAAATACACGCTTATCGGTACAATGAAATGTTGACTATCTTCCTTATAAGTTTTTGGTTCCACAGCATCCAGTAAATACGATTGTGCGAACAAACTATGTAAATACTTTTCAAGCTTAATAAAATATTGCATATACATATGTACTTCTTCAACATTTGTTCAAAACGCCGTTTTCAATTAATATGAAATCAGGCATTAAAATTGAATTAGCAAACGGAAACTGAGAACAAATGTTTTCTCGGTCTGCCTGGTTTTGGCCGGGGTGAAAACTTGGCAGCAACTTTGGCCAATTAGAAAATTATGTTGTTCTGCGTACAAGGACAATATGTTGCCCACTTTGGCAGCGTCTTGAGACGTCGCCCGAGACGCTAAAATGGAACCCGCATCCTGGAATAGTAAATATTGTATAGTCATTTTGGTGAGCGAAGCGCTAATTTTGTATGTTAGCCGGCGGCCAAAACCTGGCAAAAGTTCAGCCAACAAACAAAAGCGATAATTACAAGAAAACAAGCCGAGGACCAGGAGGATTGGCTGGAGTTGGGTTCTGGATGCCAGGACGACTTGCTGTCGGAACTTTCTTTGCATTGGTTTTGTGTGCGAACGAATGCAAATAATTTTACAAAAATTAAAAGCAGAAGCCAACAACTCTTTTGACTTGCACACAGCTGCCTTATTTATATTTGATATATTTACACAGAAAAATATTTGTGACAATATTCATTTATGTCTGTACATTTATTTTCTGGGAAAACAAGTCAATTTGTTAAATAACAACAAATTTTAGCTTGGCACGATTAAAAAACAAACTATTATAAGTTTCAGTATCGCTGATAAACTCTAAAAAATGTCAATTCTTTTGAGATGAATTTAATACAAAAATTCATTCATATACAAAAATGCCACATTACACAGAATTAAATATTTTTCACAAAATTTAGCAAACAATTTTTTTTTGTGTGGGCCAAGTTCGATGGACAGAAAGGGTTCGCAGTTTATGTGGCTGTCTAACGGCATTTAACCTACGCCACTATAATTCACGCCGTTCCTCGACGTTGCCGGCATTTAAATGCAGCGTGCGCGGAACCTTCCTCCACGCAACCAGAAATCCAGAAATCCAGGATCATCGTCCCGGGAGTCCCACGATAAGCCAAACATGATTTTACGACAATGTTATTACCATCAGCGGTGGCAGTCTGAACAGCAGCTAAGCGTTCCCAGCAGTCGGGGGAATCCAACGGCAGCCTTCCTCCGGATTTTCCATGTGTTTGTATTGTGTTTGTTGAGTTAAAATCAGAATGGGGGATGGCGAAGGGGCTAGACCCTGGGGTTACACGGATGATGCCGACGTCGCCGTGATTGTTTAAAGTTATGAATAATTAAATATTTGTGCAGGTTACGGGAGTTGGCAACCCTCGAACTTTGTCCTGGGCGTTTCGTCCATTACCCTGATGGATGCGATGGACCTGCAGGGAAGAAAATTTCAACAGAAATACTTGATCAATAAAATGCATAAATAAGTTCCCGAATTGAGTGCAATTTCAAAACAAACTCTGAAATATTTAATAAAAAGCGTTTTTGTGCTGTGTAGAATTACTTTACTGCTAGATCGACAAGCGTAAAGAATGCTCACGCACATGATTCGGAAATATTTTTAAAGTCGATTCAGAAATGTTACCAGTTTCAACTTGAGTCTTAAGAATGAAACATGAACCCTTGCTGTATTTTTTGCTCTGATGGGACTAAGCCAAGCTTATTACCTCGGCAATCAGGCAGATCTTTAAGCAAACGAAATTAAATAAATCGGTATACAAATCAAATGCATCTTCATTCAATAATTTGCTTATTATTTTTTTAATAATAATCATGCAAAAAAACCGTTTTACTGGAGATGCGGGGCATCGATCCCCGTACCTCTCACATGCTAAGCGAGCGCTCTACCATCTGAGCTACATCCCCTCTTAGTCCGCCCTCCGCGGAAAGGCGTGTGAAAAATGGCCCACCGTCCACCTAGTCATTGATAGACAGGCTAATTATGCTGGTCACCTTGTTTCAAATGCGGCCAGAAAGATAACAAAAGACATTAAACAAGTTTTCTGCATTGGAAATTAAAATACCACTATCTAGTCTATTTTAAGCTTGGGCCGGCGATTTTCTCTCGTTTGGGCTATTTGGCCATTCTGAAATTAATAGGCTCAATGGTCTAGGGGTATGATTCTCGCTTTGGGTGCGAGAGGTCCCGGGTTCAAATCCCGGTTGAGCCCGATTTATTTCTTTTGCTTCTTTATTCTTAATTTACTACTTTTCAATTAAAAATAACTATCATTCTTGACTCCGTTATCTTATTCTTCCATGGCGTCTTCTTTCATTTAATTCTATAAAATACATCCTTTTAAGAAATTGGCTAAGAAAAATAGACCTACATATATTTTAAATGGTTACATAATATTGATTGCAATGATATAAAAAACACATACCCTTTTACCTGTAGAGTACCATGATGTTATAAAATCTAGTTTGAAATAGTTTCTTCAACCAGTTTTTTTACTTACGTTTGAAAGCGTCACGCCGGCCCAGAAACTGACCTGATCAGTTACATAAATATACGGAGCCACTTTCATAAAAGGTAGAAAACGAAATCGAATTGATTTCGAAACAGCTTGTCTTTGAATTGTAATCTTTGAGTGCTTTTTACGTGATATGTTCAGTAAACTAAAAGCTATGATCATGGTCATGAATAGTAAGCAGCTAGTCCATTTGTATAAACAGCTCATTCATTTAGCCATAGTTACCAACCTTAATTTGTTGAAGAACCTATAATCAAGTACCGTTATATGGGGATGTAGCTCAGATGGTAGAGCGCTCGCTTAGCATGTGAGAGGTACGGGGATCGATGCCCCGCATCTCCAAGGATATTTCTTTTTTTCGTATTGTGGCACATATTATGAATAACTTTATATTTTTTGCCAAGTTTTTCATAATTTCCCAATTACGCTGTTCAATTGAAATCGACTATATTGTAGTTTAATATTGTCAATATATTTGTAGCTTTTTTCTTTTATCATTAAATAAAAATATTGAACACACATTAATTAAATACATTTTTTCTAGTTACGGAAAAAAAAATACCTTTAAGACTTGGAGATGCGGGGCATCGATCCCCGTACCTCTCACATGCTAAGCGAGCGCTCTACCATCTGAGCTACATCCCCGAGTGATCGCGGTTCGCCGAAAACACTAGTGATTCTACTGCATTGGAACGAAGTCACTGCTTGAAACGATTTGGGATTGACTACTAGAGATGCGTTGCCACAATAACAGCCACCCAATTAATTTTTCCAAGCTGCTTTCTTTATTTCTTGTTATGCTTTATTATTTATTCACTTTGATTATAATTTAAAAATGTCAATATTTACACTTTGACGTTGGTTTTATTCTGCCATAAAAAAACGAAAGTACAGACTCCACACAAATTGTTCTCGGCAGTCCTTTTTATTGTTTTCCAGGATTCAGTTTTTCTTGCGACTCGTCCTTTTGCTTCTCCATTCAGTCACCTGCCAGCTGATGCATATAATTATGGAAATTTTAAAGAGGGCACGAAGAGAACCCCCGAACAAGCACAAATAAAACGAAATGAAAAATCGACGGGCAAAGTAAACAGAAGATGCTAAGCAAATGAACATTTTTACGAATTTAAGCGTCAACACATTAGCATAAATTCGAGACAATACAAACGAACGAGCGAAATCAGCATGCATATTGACTATTTGATAGATTTCTTAAGATCTTAACATAAATATTCTTAAAAACACTTTACCTCTATGTTAAGCATCAATTAATAAATTTTGCTTCCGTATTTATAATCTTAAAGAAATTTGTATTATTTGCTGAACGAAATATGGTGATATATTTAAATATTTTGACTATAAAAATCGTATACGGAATACAGAATATTAAATTAGGTTGCATTTTCTAAAACACTTCAGATTAAACGTTCCGAATTGATTGTAGGGTATCGTTTCGCAATACTCTATTTTCCAGCAGTCACTTCTGTCAATTTGAATTGCCGCCAGATTGTGGAACGAGGTGGCAGCACTGACACCCGCGATTCCTCATTTGAATTACAATCGATAACAAGTCAGCTGTTCGTGTCGCTCTCTCGTAAATTTTATAAACGTTCTGGATTTTATTTTATTTATTTCGGAATTCATTTGTTTGCTGTGAAATATCTTGGCCAAAAATCAAAACCAGAACGCACTAATGTTCTCAGGGAACTTGCCGATTCAAAATCGTACGATTTAATGCACCTAAACAGTACAAACGCGGTCCAGTGGCCAATTGTGATTCGCATATGCCTTAATCGTTGTAAACATTTCCTACCGGGATAGAAATGTCATTAGATTCTTAAGCATTCCACGTGATGAGTGCACCGCAGCAGCCACCGGGAGATTCGAGGGGAGGAGCTCCGCCACCCGCCGGCAGGGATTCGGCTAATCAGCCGGCATGGAGCTCCACCGCCGGAGGATCTGGACACTCGGGCACCGGTTCTCGTGGTCTGAGCCCCAGCGGCTGGTGAGTAAATCCTCCGAATAAGCATCCACTCTAATACAATTTTCTTTGCTTTCATGACAGGATATGTCATGTTTAGTGGATTAGGGTTGCAAAGCGTTTCAATGCAGAATACATCAATATTATGCCGGACGGTTTTCGCTTTCTGAGACTGACCCACCATAAATATTTAAGAATCTGATCCATGTGGAATATTTGTACTTACATCAATATTGCATTGTGCATCTGTGCATTTCCAAAACTCTATAATTGATAGTCATTGAAAGTTAAACCACAATTTTATCAATCCCATATGGCCTCCGTTAGCTGGATTCGGTTCGAATTCTTGTGATCTTGACCATGTTTACTATTATATTGTAATAGTTGAAACCTCCTAGGTTGAGTTGCTGACATTTGAATTTGTATTATTATAATTTAAACTAAAATGTATATGACGTAGAACCTTCAATTCCCCTACCATAAATTGTAAATGTGTGGCTAAAGCCACACAGAAAACAGCCAACGTTCGCGAAATCCCTGAATTTTGCATGATTTTCTATTATGATAATGAAGCCAAGGCCACTCATGTGCTTACTAATTTTATGACGCCCCACTTCTTTCAAATTGCATAAATATAATGTGTTGGGTACGAGATTTTTTCAGCCGCCCTAACGCCGCGTTAAATAGCTAACCTAAGCGAATTTTTTGTCCTGATTTGCATATTCAAGTAGGTGTATTCTGCAGCTTTGAAGTTGCCATCAAGGAATGCGTGACAGATTCTTAAAGAAGTAAATGCAATGTAAAAGTCCTATGTAATGGTGATTAGATACGAATTGGGATAGGTTATTAAACCAAAGAGAATTTGAAAACTTTGGTATGTGCTCAAAACGAACCGAACTTCGTAATTCGGATATTTATTTGTATTAAATAAGAGCGTACAAATAAACTACATTTTTTGCATTTTCTTCAGAGACAGACCACTCAACTCCACCACTCCACGACATTATCCAAAAAAATATCATCAAAAATATTAGGTTTATTGCCATTTAGCACCCATCTCGCACCCTGACACTTTTGGCAACATCTGCTGGCAAACGGGAAAAAAGCGCCCATAATAAATATAAAATGGCAAAAACGTGTCGATTTCCTTTAACAACTTGAAAATGATTTGTTTCACAGTCTGCGGAGCATATTAACTTCGATTTTCAATTCACAGCAGACTTTGCCACACATCAAAACATTGCATATGGAGTAGGAACTGTACACCGGGGCATCCTTACCGCCACCGCCCAACTACTTTGCCAATTTTTTGCCAGTTAGGCAAACGCAAAATTCCATTTTGGCCGCAAAAGTTGCCAAACAAGGATATTTTGAGGAGAAAGGGACTCGGTTTGTTTGTTTGTTTGCTGGGCCAACCAGCTTGTCTCAATGACGTTGGTCCTTAGCCATAACCTGCGGCTCTGTCAGCTCCATCTTGTTAACCAAACAGGCCGAACTCCATCGCCCAAGACAAAGGACCCACAGCGGAGCAGCATAGTCCGAAAAAAAGTCTAATTGATGGCCCTGTTCGAACCTGCATCTTGACCATTTCCGTTCGTCTGCGGATATGCATGTCTACTCAATTTTCCGGCAAATGAGTCGCCCTCATCTCGTCCGTAAGAACAACAAAAATTGATTGGAATTTGCAACAAGCGGATACAAATTTTTTCTCCACCTCGTTTTTCTCGTTTTCCGCCACTGTTTTTTACTTTCCTGCTGATTTTTTTTTTCAGCATTTTTCCCCTTCGACACATCAACACTTGTCTTTTGTGGCTTTTGTTATTTTGGTCATGGTGTATCAGTCAGCACATGGAACCACTCATAAATGTCGAAAGTGCGGTGCATAGCCAAGTCCAGCTAGATAAATAAATGTATTCTTCATAACTAGGATTAAATAGAAAAATTTGGAAATAGAGCACCTATTAATTAATGTTGATGGCGTATTTTAAGTTCGAGTTTTAACGTGCTTTTTTTTTATGAGTTTTTCCTGTTACCCTAATATGTATGCTATATAAAAATCTTGTGCAAATGACCGTTTCCCAATATTCCCCAAAAAATGCTAACCAAAGGAATTCATGTAATTAATAAGCTTCAGCGGCACATGTTTTACACTTTGGCGAGAACCAACTTTTCTAGCTTAAAACAAATGGAAAAAACTGGAAGTGTTGGCGAGGTAAAAATTAATTATAAACAAATCTTTTCATGTCACCTAAGGAATTTCCGACACTTTGCCGCATTTTTTAGCTGCCCAACCGAAATTTCACAGCAATTTTTACGGGATTTTCCTTTTCTCCTAAATTTTGCTTCCCTGACCATTTTCTCTTCGGGGCAATTGTTTAGGGTCACTCAAAAGCACATTTCACTTATTATTAGCTCATTTATTACACACCGAAAGGCGCCTGACCCTGGCAGCACCTGCAAAAACTTTGTGAAAAATGCTGCCCAATACAAAAAGGCGGAAAAAAAGAAATGTATAAAGGAGAAAATACCTCCTGAAGTTCCCCATCTCCTCCTCTCGTCGGGCACCTTAAAATTAACACATAAATTTTCAAGTGGGTGGCCAATTTCCTGCGGCTGGCTATCCGCGAGATACTTTTAGTCCTGCCAGTTTTGTTTAACAAGGGCGCAGTATAAAGTGGATTGTATATTAATCGACTTAAGGGAACAAATCAAAATATGGATACAATACACAAAAATACTCTGCGTATTTAGGCTTCAAGTTGTTAGAAAACCGTATTTTTATAAGTTATAGTAAATCCATTTTTTTGGAAATCTAACTTTCTGCGTAGAAAAAGCCCCTTTTTTGCCTACGCCCCTGACTGTGGACTGCCTGTCATTGTAATTTCCGTGTGAGTGCGTTCAATGTTCAGGACCCATCATCCATTCCACAAAATAGCAGCCGCGAACTGGGCAATTGACGTTGAAACTACGTGACGTAGAAAGGTAAATGGTATCTGCGGGATTTCCAATGACAGTGACTTTCCTTTTCTCGTTTTTTATTGTGTGCAAATTGGCCACCTGACATCGCCCCCAACGCAATGCTTTTAATTATAGACCACTAAATTAAAATCCGTGCGGAACATGAGCAGGGGTGTATTTATAATGTCTGCCTTCATTATCAACTCAAATGCAGGCCGTAAGCATAAAAATCAACATTACCACTCCTCGAGAAACTGATAACAAAAGAAATCCCAAGACAGTCAAGGGAAGAATAAAGAAAGGACCTCGGCAGTGCGGAAATAAATAAACGTCGCAACTTTCTTGAAATCGCGAGAAGGGCACACTTTGAATAAAAAAAATTAACAGCAGCCCCAATTTGCAACCTCTATTCTCTATCCTCGTTTAGTTATGCATTTCTTTTGCTTTTTTCTGCATTCTTTTGATTTTAATTTTTTATTTATGTTTTCTCCCACATCCACAGGCGACAGAACAACTCAATGAAATATAATTCGCGACCCTGGCATCGAGGACGTTTGGACAGGCAAGTTTTCCCTTTTATTTTTCCTCACTTTTCCTTTGTTTTGTACTTTTGTATCCCTTTGCGCCATTTGTTTGTGTCTCCCCGTATTTGTTTGCCTTGCGTGAGCTCCTTGGCTTAACGCACGCTTGCACCTTTCCCGCCCAACCAAAACCCAAAAGTCGGGCTGAAAAACTCATCCTGCCGAAGGGACGATCCCTCGGTGGCAGCCTCATTATTAACACTTGACTAAATATGCATTTCTTGGGTGGACGCCGTTGACGTCAACGGCCAGAAGCGTTAACAAGGTTTGCATCTGGGAAAGGGAAGGATTGGCTATGCCAACTGTCGTCCCAGGAAGTCTCTTGAATCTCTTCCAGAACTGTGTACTTGTTTTTAGGAAAATATCTATTCAAGCCACTTTACCTCAACCTAATAAGCCAAATATGAGAGTTAGACGACCGTCTCAGTAGGTAAACCGGATCATGACTTATATAGTCATATAGGAGTTATCCTTCAACACTCATACAGAGATCGATCCTAATGGAAAATTTCGATTATAACCTACGATTGAACGCTATTAGAATCAAATATCAGAATGAAAATGATCAGAATGAAATGATTTTCCATTAAATATAAATTATAAATATAAATTTTGTATATACAAATTTGCACTTTCCATGAATAAGTAACATGCAGAATGCTTTATAGAAGTAGATAAATTTAAAGGAAGATAGAAGAAGTTAGTTAAATAGATAGTTAAGATAGTTAAATAATTCTCATTTGTAAGTCTCATCAAATTCGCGTTTTTTTTTTTGCGAACGCATTCCCAACGTGTAACGGTAAATCGTTACCCACCACCCGCCCGACCGACGCGAGGGGCGACTGCCGCTTGACGCACGGCTCGTAGAACCCGACTACGGCAAAGGTCCGGACCCTGGCCTCCACTTCATGGAAGTTTTTCCGCGTACGCGATCAGAAAGTTCGGACACCCATATCTCATAGATTGCCCGGATAATTTTGTAGGAATCGAAGTGTTTGGAGCGGATCACAAGCCCCGGATCAAGCGGATCGTGCCAATGTTTAGCTCTTGAAGCGGGATTTATAAAAAGTTAAGTGCGAGCGATTTCAATTGGTTGTCTTTCTTTGAGCCCTAACTGTTCGGATTCGGAGTCTTACAGTGAATGTTATTTAATTGTAGTTGATCTTAAGAACTAAATTGCCTATTTAGATGCATTGTCCCTGGTTTGTGATGGTTTAAGTAAGGTTTACTAAATGCTAAAAGATATGGCTAATACATTGACTATCGGCATACTTAGTGGCCCTACAATTGGTTACATATCGATTGCTGTAGTTAGCTGGTTATGACATTATTTTTCTATAATTTGATATTTGCCCCTATTATGGCTTGATTTCGTTGATTTGTACCGCTTTAAGAGATCATTTTTGTATCCTTGCGTTTGAGATCGTGCGACCTGTGCTTTCATCGGCGAACTCATGGTGTCCTACTTACAGTAGGTTCGACCCAAGCGAACTGACTGATGGTGCGATGAAATCGTTGTAGTGGCTTTTATATTGAAGCTTAGAACTCAGTATTCTGGTAGGATGATGTTTCTGAAAAAATGTTTATTTTATTTTTAGGTTAAGGTGACTAATCAGCTATGGCATCAATTGCATTGATTGAAAATCCATAAAAACCGTTTAAAGGGAATGTTATCCCATTCGTTGTGCAATTATTACTAATGCATTTTATTCTACTGTCCAATTATAGCACAAAACCTTTTGAATTGTCATGCATGCTAGCTATTGCGAAAATTAATATTGCTATTCACTAGTATTTAAATGGTGATCCTCTTCCCGTGTTTTGATTGTATACTTTAATCAGTTCTTATAAACGATCCCAGCTCGAATTCCACCACTGTATTCACCACACTCACTGCATATCCACCTTTTTCGCAACTTACCTTGATGAGCGCGGGGCTCACACTCGCGTCCAAATATTGTCCTCAGCCAAATGCCGTCGCTTTGGAACTCAAGGAATTTCGACTTGCTGCGATATAAATACTCTTCAGCTAGATTTCTCCGTAGTTTTTTTTTCGTTTCCGTTTTTGGCGGCTTCGCTGGCTTCTTGGGAGATGGAGTTAAACTCGAAGTCGGGACTCTGGTAGTTGAGACTCAACTGAACCCGTGCACATGGCCTATCTGACTTTTATAGCGAGGCCATCAAATGGCATGCGCCGAAATTTCATTCATGCTACATAGAGCGGTATGTAAAGGACCCCAGATCCCCATTCCTCTGTCGGTGTCTTGCTTATTGTATTGTTGTATATGCAGTTTACCAAACAAAAATGCCAACACACACACTCAGACTTCTTCCTGGCGCCGAGAACTATGCAACAGCCAACCAGAGAGGCATCTCGGATTGCAACGGTACAACGGTACATTGCAGAAGCGAGAGAGAAACGAAATGGCGGAGAGAGAGTGAGATGGAGAGCATCTATTAATTGCACGTGCTGCAGTTGCTGTTATTATTGCTGTTGTTGGGTTTTATGTTGTTTTGCTTGTATTTTATTTTATATCCCCCATCACTGCTCACTCACTCTCTCTCATTCCCTCTCTCGCTCTCTCGGTTGTGCTTCGTGAGAGGCGATGTGGCGAAGCTGATGCGACGAAGATTTCTCTGCTCCTTCTTGGCCTGTTTACCGTTAGTCGCACTCGGTCTTTCCAGCTCGCTCGTTCGTCCTTCGCTCTGCCAGCGCTGCAAGAGAATGGAGGGAGGGGGGCAGATGGAAAATAATGGTTGGGGGTGGGTTAATACCCCCCTCCCACTACCACTTCCACTGCTGCATCCTATTTAGTTACATTTTGTTATTGTTGCTGTACTTTGCATTGTTTTGTGCTGTGTTTTGTTTTGCTGCAGCTCTCGGGCCGTGACTTCGTGTTATGTACCGTTATGATCGTCGGCTCGTCGCTCGTTCGCTGCATGCGTTGCTGTAAGTGTGAGTGTGTGCCCGAATGCTGTTGTCCTGTTGTATAGTTGGTTATGTACTTGCTGTTGTTGTTGCCGCTGCAGCTATATTGCCATTGCTGTGTGTTGTGCTCTCTAAACTCCGCCCGCCCCCAATTGAAAAAGGAAAACAACGAAATCGTATCCGAAGCTACTAACGGCACTTCCCCCAAAACGAACTGCCCAGTATTGTGTTGTGTAGTGTTGTGTGTTGTGCTGTTGTTGTCCTAACGGTAAATTTTTAAACCGTTTAAAGCCCCATTAATTTTTGTGAAGTGAAACTAATAAATGATGTTAATTGCAATTGGCAATTAATTAAATATTTTTGAAATATTTTAAAACTTTTAAAAAGTAGAGGTATAACGAGTTTCGTTGTTTCATAGAAAAAAAAAAGATTACCAAATGGAATTTTATTGCATTTCCACAAAACCTTGATGTATTCCGAACCAAAAATGTGTGGTTTTAGCTGCAGACTTCGCTATAAAAAAAGAAGAACGGCATTCTATCATTAAAAAAAAAATCTAATAATTGTTTTTCGACTTGTTTAAATACAATTTTCCATAGCAATTTTGTATTGTTCTATGCGCTCAGTTAGAAGCTAAGCTAGAAGAAGTTGCAGCAGTGGATAAAACTAAATTCGAATTAAATTATAATTCATTTTTTTGGATGGCTCCGCCTTGAATATTATTCAGAAATTCACTTCAATAAAATGTAATATCAAAATTAATCCTCAGTCTCCACAAATTCATGAATTCAGTTTATTTTATTAAACAACCATTGAGCCTTGCCTTAAATAAAAACTTCAAAACAAGCATGTAATAACCGCGGGAAAGTCAAACGGAGAAAAACTCCAACAGTCGCAGGCGACCAGCACCGCAACTTCCGTTTCCGGTCTGTCGACCGCACCATGTTGACAACAACAAAATTCATAGCCTAACACGCAGGCTGATTTATATTTCACTCACACAACCGCTCACTCACACATTCACATTTCCCCGCACACGCCGGCAAACAGAGAGAGCAATTCATAAACAATTAAGTGACACTTTGAGTTTGAGTGGCGTGTGAATGTATCGCAACAGGAGGCCATTTAACGCCAATGCAATTAATGTGATTGAGTAAACTTTGCCGGACTTCTGAAAGTGTGGGTGTGTGGTTAATCGAGTTGTTTTTGCAGACCGAGCTGATTACGCAATGTTTTGATTCGTAGCAGTTTATTTAGTGACAGTATTTTTATAACGGTGATGATGACTGGTGAAATCTGTCCATGTGATATAGAAAAGTAAATTTAAAAAAAAACTATCAAATGAAACAGAAATCTAATATAAAAGGGATGACTACTTTTTCCCTATATTAGGTTTAAATTTATCAGACTTTTCTTAAGATTATTCTCATTAATTATTTAAGCAACATTTAAGCGTTGATCAACAAATTCCCGTCGTTCCCCCGAATAATTTCCATATTTTTGCGGCCTATATGAGATAATTCTAATTCTATTTAAAATGTATTCAGATCAAAAGGCAGATTTAATTCAGCGATTTAATTTATTTCTTATTCTGTCATCCCTCACAGCTCGACCCTAATTAACCAAAAGCTTTTCCACCGCTCGGAAATAATCATAAAAAATATTCTGTGAAAATCCGATTAGCCGAGACGCTTGCCGGCGCATCTGGCAATTGAAAAGTTTGGAAGTTGTGCGTTTTTCTTATTCTTAATTAAATCCAAAGTGCTGGCATAAACTTTTATTATTGTTGCCCATCATCTTGGGCTCCAGTTTTCCTCCTGTGCCTTATCAAGCATTTGTCAATGCGGCAAAAGTGAACAATTTTTCATTATCGAGCGCGATAGGAAACGACAGAAAGACCAAGTGCCCCCAAATTTAGAATTTTCTTTCGCTGCTTGCCGACAAACTGCTGGAGTGTCAAATCATAAATATGCATCTAACGTTTATCTAACGTCTTTATAGCCCAATCCCCCTGGCATTGGCTCTGTTTTCGCCAAGGAGCAGAAGAAAATTCCCTTGGCCCTTTAGCTGGAAGTAGACTTAAAAGTAATTTTACGTCTGACTAAACATTAATGTGCTCAATATTTTATTGTTTGTTTGTTATTTCGTACTTTTGCTGTTTCATGGAGTCTTTATCCTTGCAAAAAGTCCAAGGCACAGAGTTGATTATGCGGGAAGCTTCAAAAACTTTTCGGCATGCTGCAATTTTTAAATGGTTTTGTTTTTTTTTGGTTAAGGGTAACTGAACAGCAAATATCTGAGTTGAAGGCAAAGCTTATTTAAGGAGGCGATTAAGTTTAAGGAGTTTACCTACAAGATCTGCTTGAACTAATGGTATTGATTAGGTGCAGATGATTTTTCCATATATAAAAACTCTTAGGCGGCACTTGTTTATTTAGGCATGCACCATTTTAATTAACATATTTTTTATGAATGTAAATAATCTTTTAATATAAGTACTTATTTTTATAGAAAATCTCACAATCGATGCTTATGAATTCACCATTCATACGGATTTTTTTGTAACTCCTCGAAGTGGGATATTAGTTTGATAATTCTAAACCAGAGTGATATAAATATAACTGCATCTGTCCGCCAAACGTCTACCATTTTGAATGAATGAATGCTAACAATGCATTTTAAGATTGCAAACATTGGTCACAGTTGTTTTGTTCCACTTTACGGAGAAAAATGTTTTTGTTCACTTGCTTCATTAAGCATTACAATACAACTTTTGTTAACAAACTCCCAGTGAGGCGAATGCATTTGTTCTGAAACAAACCTCTTGTCTTCGCATAACTTCCACCCAACTCCAACACAATTCCAAGCCAAATATAGCTACCAAACGAGCAGAAGCTGACCACAGCTGGCCTTTCTCTTGGCCAACTGTTAATTTGGCTTGGCTTGCACTTCTGTAAAACACCTTTTTCGGACACTTTCGGCCGCCCACAATGCATGGGGGATGTAGCTCAGATGGTAGAGCGCTCGCTTAGCATGTGAGAGGTACGGGGATCGATGCCCCGCATCTCCAATTGGATTATTTCCCTTTTTTGCCAAGTACAACACGCAGACGTCGGCAGTTTTGTCTTTTGCATTCCGGTACTTATGTATATGTTGGGGGTAAGAAGTTGCCACTAATGAATATTCAAAGGTTGCTGTGTAGCTGCCAAGCGAGCATTATCCGTGGAGTCTCATATCTGCATCCCTTAGAACCCGCCCCATGTCGACAATCAAGACGCGTAATTTGATTTGCGCCCTCATCACATTATTACACTCAGAAAAGAATGGTTAGACTTCACTAATTGGATTGCTTACAAATTGCAATATAAGTATTATAAATTCTTCATATCTATACCAGATACTGCTAGAGTAAAATGGTGTAAAAGATGCGTTGAAAGGTATGTCACAGGTCCACTAGCCAAGTATGTCTGTCCGTCCGCTATAGTAGAGTTCCTCAACTATCAGAAACCCCTTCCTCAGCTAGTGGTAAAGCCAGGGAAATACCAATAGACTTTAGATAGAAAAAAATCGAATGAAAAATTAAATATTTTTTTAAAACCTTTCGCGTTAGAGTGGCAATGGTTTGAAACAAACGTGTACTAATTTGACTTCTCGAAAATATCACGCTTGATATAAATGTTCTAGTTCTTATAGTTCCCGAGACGCTTGATGTTCATACGGATATACTGACAGACGGGCAGAATATATATAGATATGATCATGATCATATGTATGTATGTGTATTTTTTGTGAAATGTTAAAGAACTTATTCGAGGTATAATATTTAACATATTTGACAGTTAATCTGCGCTTGCATTTTTAGAAAGTATCATTCTTATTTTCTAAGTGTATTGTAGCTGAGGGAAATGGCTGAGAGAACACATTGTCGCACATAAATCAGCACAATATGCCAATGTTTGTTTACTTCCCTGCATCGCAGAGAACTTTGCCAGCAATTAACCAGACGGCCGCAGTAGTCAGAACAGTCAGCACAGTCGGAATGTGGATGTGAAACTGAATTTGTAGGAGTTGGAGTTGTCAATGGGCCAAAACACGGTCCCAGGACTCCGCGGGCAACATGCTGGGAACTCCTCTACAGTCTGAGTCAGGCGGGTTTGGTGTTGTAAATGATACATGATGTGCTATTTATGAGAAAAGGCTTTTGTTTTAATTTTTCCCTACCTTGGCTTTGTTTTTCACAATTTTGCCGAGGACAAAGTTTTCGACGTAAGCTAGTTAAGCCATTGCTGTTTTCGAGTCGTTCGTAAAATTTATGTATTTATTTTGAGGATTTTAATTGTTTTAAGTGTTTGACTGCCAAGAGTTTGTAGTTGCTTTTTGAGATATACCAAAAATAAAACGTAGTTTGGAGATGCGGGGCATCGATCCCCGTACCTCTCACATGCTAAGCGAGCGCTCTACCATCTGAGCTACATCCCCGTGTTGTGGATTACTGAAAAAAGGTTCAATATTCACTGCTTTACCCACTAAAGCTGAACAATTACCCGCAGTTAAATTCAATTGGCATGCAAGTCGACCAGCGACCTGGTTACAGTTTCATAGGCCAAGTATGAACTGGTTTGCAGCTTAACGATTTTTGGGTGTGGCGTTCGAAAGACATGTCCACGTTCAATTAAGACAGTGGCGCAGTTCAAGAAGTGGTTTATGTACAGGTATTGATTCTGTATTTACAGCCCAATCAAACTTGTTGTCAATTCATGTTAGGTATAACCAGACACCATTGACTCTAGTTACTATTATACTTTATTTCATACCAATAAATCTTACCACCAAAACGTAAAATTGTGCTTATACTTTTGGAAACCGGAAAAAATCAGACTTCGTTCACCATGCTGGCACTTGGCAAAAAATTAATATGCATAACGCATAGCGGAAAGAAAAAATAAACTTGGGAAAATATATGCAGTGATGAGTCAAAAAGGATGCCACTTGATTTGCTTGGTCCCCAACTCAACTCAACTCAACCCCCGCAGGATCAACAATAACACGTTCCCTTATCGGAACCGGAAACGGTTCCCAAGAAAGAGGTCCTGAAAGAGTCCTCAAAGTCACGGTGGCGTGTGTGACAAGTCCTTTCTAATGAGCAGGAAGAATTCACGTAGACTGGAGGGAACCTACTGCTCAAATCAAGCCAAAAAGTCGCCCTCAACTAATAAACTTCGCCCAGGTCCAAAGTCAATTAAAAAAGGAACAAAAATTGTACGTGACACCCGGAGATAGACAGTCGAAAAAGGCATGGAAAGAAAAGAAGTGGGAATGGAACGAGAGTCCTTTAACTGAAATGCTCGAACTAAAAAGTCGCAGACTGTCTTGAAATTAAAATTACACGACGCTTGAATAACTTTCGGCGTACTTCCACCCCACTTGTGTTCCGCTGGCAGGTAAATGCTGACAAAAGTTTTTGAGGTAGCATTTCTTTTACGATTCGCCAGAGAGTGGAACCAGCTAAGATGCGCCACTTGCTACGTTTTTGTCATTAATTTTGTATATCATTGAGTTTTACGAGGCTCATAAATATGAAAACGTTTAACTCTTGCTGGCTGAAAACAAAATTCGGCTCGGGGGAATCCCGAAAACCCCCCTGTCCCGTTTTATATGAGACAAACTAATTGTCTTGTACTTGTAATGTGTTTTTAAGCGCAGCCACGTTTCCCACATGTTTTCACAATGTTTCCCCGATAAACAGGGGGAAGTCGGCATTTTGGGGCAGGGGCTGTAACAATTAGTGGGGTAACTTGAAGGGTTGCCTCCTTTTCTCGGGCGCAACAGCTTGAGGTAATTTTCAACTTTTACTCTTTGTTTTGGCGTTGACAAGAAGCGTGTTGTTTGTTTGGTTTTAATTAAAGCCCAAAACATATCAAGTTGAAATGTACCTTCGCAGGAAAACTCGTTCCAGTTTAGGGACACAATTTAGAGAGATGTAAGTATTTGTGGCAATTGGGGATTACTTGAGATATGGAACATAACAAATCCGACATTCTTCAATGGTGCATACTATAAAAAAGCCTTGTTACCGTAAATATCTTGATTTTTTAAGATAAAATGATGTATAATATAGTTTTAGTTTTACAACGTTTAATATTCAATCGCAAAAGTGGCTGAAGCTCACTCGAGCAAGCCAAATAAATTTTCATTCAGATTCTGTATAGGTTCACAGGACTTAAGCTCCCTTACTTTTTAATTAGTTCATGTTACAAGTGACATTAACTAAAAAAGGCAACGGCAAGGATTTGTGGCCGTATAATTTAGCATTTCTTAACGAGATTTTTCGGTAAGGAAAAAACCAAAAGAACAACGGAATTCGCACCTTTGCATACACAAATAGCGAGAGCAAAGTTTTGGCGGATGAAAAGTGCTTGGGAATGCGAATGGGGTCAGGGGTGCTGTGGTTATAAATTTTAAATCTGTTAAATTAATGCAGCAGCTTTCTTTCATTTCTCAGTCCGGTTTCTTACGTGCCAGAAAGTTACGAGTAAACTCAGGCACGTCGCTTGATTACATTAATTATTCCTTTATTGTTTGCAAAAGTTTTCACCTTTCTCGGCGTCTTTGTAGTTATGTTTTCGCAATTCGTCTAAATGTAATTAATTAGAAAAGATTTTACTCACAATACATGTTCTTTCTTTTTTACAGTGGTCACTTTAACAATAGAGTGGTAAGTTAAGAAGAACATTGAATACTTGGTTTTTCTAATCAACGAAAATGTTGTAGTGGTCTAATCACAATCAAAGACAGACGCTTTACCCGCAATCAAACTACGGGAATCGGGACCATTCTGACTCCCGTAGTTCAATCCAGGAACGACAGGAGAGAGATTATACTAAGAGAACTGATTTTCGCGAAAGAAACACTAGGTACTCCGATGAGAGACACTCTGGCAGATACAGTGATTATCCCCGTAGAAAGCATTACTACAGAACCAAGCCTAGGGGAAGTGAGGGTCGATCCTATCATAGGGACGAAGGTGCCAGAGATTCCTCTAGGTCTCCTAATCATAATGGTGAAAGTGGTTCAAGTCTGAGCAGAGCCACATCTGACATCAGGCGAGGTAACGGCCACAACTGTGACCAAAAAAGCGATGCTTGTAAACCACATAAAGAGTATAACCAAAGCTGCGTAAATCACTATCAAGCCGAAGAAAATAAAATTGATTTAGGGCAAACTGAGGATAAAGGAGCTAGCAGAACCAGCCCCACCGAGCACAGTTCAGATATATCTCAACAACCTGATCCAATTGCATCAGAAGGCGATCAGCATACAAAAACCAATGGGTTGAAAGACAGCTCCTGCCCTAGCAAGCAGAGCAAGGATTTAAACGAAACCTCTAAGGCTCCACAGTTTTCCGATCGAAGATCGGAGGCGCAGTCGTCGGAGGAAAAATTAAAGGCATCCAAGTTTGGTGGGAACCCCTCTGGTGTACAGGCTAGTCAATCGATTCCACGTATCCAAGTGCGCCCCCTCACCGAGCTACTGAGGCAGGAGCTCTTTGCAGTCACCCAGGAGAATCTGTGCAAGAGACCTCTCCTCAGTCCCCCTCCATCCGCATCCCCCGCCAGCCCGAGTCGTCTGGCCATTAGGCCCAACCTAAGAAATCGTCGCCGAACCGTAAGCAACTGCATTTACAATGCTGCAAGTCTTGATCAGGCCGCAGAAAGCGAGGCCGTCTTCAATGATCGCATCGCCAGCATGGACAAGGAGACTCTGAAGTACATAATCAACAATGGCGACACCATCTTTGAACCACACTTACAACTCCAGGCCAGGCGGCGTATACGTGACGAGATTCGCCGACAGCTGAAGACAATTGAGCTGGATAAGCCCAAGGATTGTCTGGTACAGGAATCAGTCGAGGACGAAATTGTAGATGCCATCAAATTGCCCGCAATTCTGCTCGAGGAGATCGAAAAGTGCTTTGGCATAGACATATCAGAGGGTCAGACGGCCAAAGATACTGAAGTAAATAAAAAAGGGACAAAGAAAGAAACCGAAGAATCGAAGGGAACTTGTAACAGCGCTGAAAGTTCAAAAGATTTCAAAGCTAAGAAGACAAAAGCTACTCTTCACGATAATGATCAGAGCCTTAAATTTAGAAAGCTTCAAAATAAAATTGATAGTAATGATAACAATCAGCAAGTAGAAGCCGGCGAGCCTAGAAACCCGCATTGCGTTTTGCCTAAAGGTAGCGAAGATAGCTCTGTAAAATCGAATGTGGTCCCTAAAAAGGTCTTGCAAGAAAACAATAAGAAGAAAAGTAGAAATCGGAGCGTCGATCAAACCATTAAAGTAAATGGGACTAGGCCGAAGAGTCCGAGACAGGAAGAACCAATAGAAACTGTGCAACACCTTGATTCCATCAAGAGGTCGGAAATACACCAATCTAAAAATCGCGCGCCCTTGCTACCGACCCCTACATGTGAAAGAGTTGTATGGACAAATTCAAAGAGTAAGCACTCGACTCCAAGTCAAAGTGCATTAAGTAAATCCAACACAAGTAATGATCAGGAAATCGCTTCAGTAGATTGCCATTCTATTATCAGTACACACAATAAAATGGAAATTAAAAGGGAGTCTAGCAGCTCACCCATATCAGTGAGTCCTTTAGCTTCAAAGGAAGTTATTGATCTGCTGAGCTCATCTGACGGAGAGCAGGAAGAGCAGGGCGTGCAGCATATGGACGTTGATGAACTTGAAGGTGATAGTTTAAATCAACCAGAAGGTTTGACGCAATCCGAACCCGCAACTGTGGAAAATGCCGATAGTGACAACTCCACCAGCTCCCAAAGCAGCAGTAAGTCCACAAAAAGGCGACGCAGGCTGAAGCTTCGAAACGATGCAGAAAATGTGGTGGACAGTTTTGAAAAGCTGATCCTTCCCCATCTTCGAGAGGCTCTTACTGAGCGCTATCGTCGCCAGCATTCTAGTAGCCTGCAGAGTCGATTGCACTTTATCTCCTGCGTGGTGACAAGCTCCGAGCACAATTCACAAACCTTTAGCAAAATAGAGGTAGCCAAGATGCAAATGAATCTCAAAGCAGTCGACAATCGCCAAGCTATCGAATTTCTGCTAAAAGAGATTGTCAACGTTGTGAGTCTGCAGAAACAACGTCGTCGGGAGCAGGATGAAGAGCAAAAGCTTGCAAATTTATTAAGCCCCAAAAAATCAGCATCCATGGTTGAGGAAACCCCTAAGGCGTCCACATTACGTCCAATCCAGCAGTGTTCTATTCCACCAACGGCTCAAGATAGTTCTCCAGATATATCACCGGGTCAGAAACCTCCATCCTCGCCTGCCCCCAAATCAACTCCGCCTATAAGGCACAGTTCTCCAGTTGTATTGCCCTTTCAGAAACAGCCATCTTCTCCTGTCCGCGAATCCTCACCGCCAACTCCGCAGAGTCCTATTTCCGCAACTGCTCAAAAGAGTTCTCCAATGGTGTCAGCCCTTCAGAAAAGTCAATCTCCTCCAACCCGTCAATCTTCAACACCCATCCAGGAGAATCCTATGGAGTCAGAGCAGGGTTCAGCTCGTCAGAAAACTCGCCAAAAGATTCCAGTCGTGGATGTTTCTGAAAGCCCTGATCCTAACCCAGGAAATCCTTCCTCTTCGGCGAAACTGGAACACTTTCCCGTTGGATTTCCATTTCTGGCCATGGATCCCGCCCTTTGCAATTATACGCGTCTAGCTTGTGGATCAAAGATAAACGAGCCTTTGGAACATTTGGGAGACATGATGGCGCAGAATTTGGTTGAAATTGATCGTCGTTTGATGGAAAATCAAAATCGTCGCAGCATTTTGGATGATATGATATCAAAGTTTCAGAAAGAGAAATCTGAGCTGGAGATGGTGAATCTAGAACTCCAGAGTCGAAGGTTTCTGATGATTAACTCCATGATTTCTAGAAATCAGGCTACTTCTGCTCAAGCTGCCAACTCCAAAAGCAAACCACCTCCGGCTGAAACTACTCAGGAATCCAGGCAGGATGACAGTTTTAGCAAAGGAGGGATAGCGAGGAGAACTAGAAGTAGATTAAGAAGAGCTGTGTTGGTCCTAGCACCCAAGCGTCAAGTAAGGGTACAAAAACGAGTCCCCAAAATACATAAATCAAACGAATTGGTGGAGAAATCCCAGGAAGAAATTGCTGAACGCGATACCAATAAAATGGATTCTGAAAAGAGCATTCAATCAAATTTCAAGGTAGAGCAGTTGGATGTGTCAGCTGGTGACCAAGTAGCCGACTCCTCGTCCACCACCAAACTTGCACAATCGCGCCTGACCAAGCCCAGTATTACAGTTAATCCGACCCACCAACCACTGGCTGTAATACCACCACTTCCACCACCACCACCGCCTCCGGATCCAATTTGCCACATGTCCTACGAAACGCCTAGCTCCTTCCTTAAGGAACCACTACACGAACCCGATCACCACAGGTCAGAGCTCAACTCCGAAGAGAAGTGCTCTGTAGGATTCGTGCCGAAGGGCAAATTGCAGAATGTTGGCAGCCCCATTACCCAAATAAAAATCTACAGGCAGTACGTGATAGCAGCAGCCGAAGATGGGGATATCTACATGTTCCACCTGGTCACTCACAAGCTGGAGCGAAAGATCACTAAGCACAGCGAGGCTATCACGAACATGTGCCTCAGCGAAAAGGATTCTATTCTCTACACCACCTCAGCGGATGGATTTTTTAAGAAGTCTTCGCTCCTGGTAAGTCACTTAGAGTCACTAGAGGAGCCATACCTGAATACCTTATAACTCTTAAACATTTGCAGAATCTGGAGCGGGTCATAGAAACGGTTTACCTTAAAGAGCCGTTGCAGTCGATAGACGTCGCTTGGGGATTGGCCTTTATTGGCAGCCGTTGGGGTCAAATTTCTACCTTCAACGTGGTGGTGAGTTCAAAATTTTTTGTAAACTGAATTCTAGTATACATAGTCTAGAAAATCGAATGAGTTTTTATATCGACTGAAGTATTGTTTTGAAGTGAGATAAGGAATTTCTTCATTTCTTCTTTTCCCCTTTCTTAAAACATTGCTTAGACTAACAAATAACTGATTGGACCTCCAATGTGGTAGTCAATCAATCGCCTCTCAATAAATTTTCGTCACTTAATTTGACTCATTAAATATTTATCTGTCAAACAAACACTTGAACAATTTTAATTAAAATATTGAGCTCCGTCTCGCGAGTCCTGCCAAAAGGACAGCCACCACACACAGGATGAGTCCACACCTTGCCCGCGCGCCAACAATAACACCAGGAGTTAACGAATTGGCAATGAGGAAAGCCAAAAACGAAAGTCTAGACAATGGAAATCAAATCGAATTTATTTTTCATTTTTTGTACTCTCGCGAATTTAACAAATTGGATAGTATGGAAAAAAAGCGTAGAAAGGGAGTGTGGCCTCAGTTGGTACTTGATTATAATATTTTACATTGGGGGTAGAGCAAGGCTATAAGTCTTAATTCTGGCAGAAATTCGATTTATGGCTGCGACGTGCTGATAACTCATGGCTCATGACCACGTTTATTGGTTCTGTGCACAACTGTACTTGATTAGGAAAGAAGGAAACGAGAAAAGTCATCATAGCTGAGATAACTGGTAGGGGTAATAGTTTTAAATATTATTAACTTATTTTTAAATTTATAATCTATTCACTTAAAAATTAAAATGTAAGGAAGTGAGGTAACTATAGATCAAATAGAAGCAACTGTACTAAATATGTATGTATGGAAATGAGGTAATTATAGTTGAGGTAGAACCAAATGCACTAAATTTTAACTAAACACGAATGGGATACATTTATATAAGAGGTAGTTATACTATACTTGACACATAGTACGGTATGCTATTCATTGCGGAGGGGCAGCACAACTGTACCTGCAATTGTATTGTAGATGGAGGCAACTGTACTGCCGACTGTAGTATGAGTGGTTGTTCCCTGTCCTCGAGTTTTTTGGTAGGTGCAGTCTAAAGCTTTGGTTATTTGGTAAATATGCGAAGACGCCACGCCCCATGTGGCAGGAAGCATATAGGGGGCGTTGCTGGTATTGCAGTTTTTGCAAGCCTGGCTGCTATTGCTCGATATTTAGCTTTGCCTGGTATTTTGTGTTTTATTGTGTCGTGTTTGCTGCACGTTGTTTGGCCGAGGACTACGAGTCCTGGGAGTATATAGCCTCCTTGCAGCAACTGGATATATAGGTATGTATGTAGAACTAGGGCTAGGGGTTAGTTGCAACAAACAACAGCAAACTGCAGCACTAGCAAGCTGTCTTGCTCCCACACTCATTGGGAAGAAAGATGTTTCTTTCTTGCTCGCTCGCTCTCCCTCTCTCTTCCTATCTCGTTCATTCTCTCCTTTTGCTCCCCAGTGCTCTCTATTGTTGTTTAATTAAGTTTTTATGTGTGCCTGTTTAGTTAACGGTATATTTTGCCGGCACTCATTCTCCCTCGCTCTCTCTCTCAATGGTTTTTTTTCTGCGCATGTCTTCTGCGCTGCACTTCACTGTTAGTTGCATATAGTTACTGCCATTCGTTAGTTTTTTGGCAGCAGCAAATAAAATGTTTATATGCTATTTACTCAAAACAATTTTAAATAAAATACAAGCCGACGAGGTTCTGGTTCTGGCTCTCTCTCTCTCTCTCTCTCTCTCTCTTTATCCAGGACTCGGGCGAGTAACGGTACGGCGCTCGCTCAAGTTCTCTTCGCTGCAAGTGTGAGAGAGCCTTCCAAGGCGCTGCAACTGGAATTGTCTTCGTGCCTGTTGCTTGATTCCTTTCCTTGCTCTCTCTTTCGTCCTCGTAGCTCCTGTTTTTGTTGTTGTTGTGGCGTGGGCTTTTCTTGCTGGTTGGCTCCTGTTTTGTTGTGTTGTGTTTCTGGAAACTGACGCCCTGTCTATGGCTTGTTGTTGTCAGTGTGTTGGTGTGCTCGTACAGCTCTCCCATTGGCCGATTTGGCCAACTCGGGTTGGTTGTTTGTACCGTTACGTGTGCCCCCCCAGTGACTGTAACTCTTTTTTCGTGTTTATGTGAGCTTTTCTATTGTTGTTCCCCGTGGCAAATTGCACACATAGCCATTCGTGTAGGTGTGGCAAGTGGAATAGCTCCTGCAGGCTGCAACCACTAAATAAGCTCCCCCTACACTGCAGTGTATCTGATTTCGCACAAGCAATTGATTTGTATTTTCTTGTCTTGCACTCCTGCGCCTGGCCGCCATCTTGCCGACTGGCTGAAGACATAACAGTTGATAGAAGAGCACTTCATCGCCCCATCTCGTTTTCCTAGCTGTAGTTTTTGTTAGTGAGGAAGTCTATAACATTTAACCTTTCATTTTTTCCATTTTTAGGGACACATTATTCCATATTGCATGGAAAGTTTTTTCACAAGATAATTTAACCGTGTTTCCTCAACATCTTCCTGGATGTAGTTTTTAAAATTGTATAGATTTGCATATGTATATTTAAATTTAGTCTCTACTTTAAAAATTTGCCTTTCACAATTTTCTTGTGTCTCTACCAAATTGCCACGGAAGAATTGGCAATTAAACACAAATAAATATGAAGTGCTTTTTTGTACCAACAACTGACTTTTGTAAATATTTAAAAGCTTTTTGAGCTTAACATTTTAGAATATATGTATGTCCAGTAATTCCTTTTAAAAATTTGTTTTTTTGTTGTTATTTCTATTGTAAAATCTAAACTAATTAGAGAAGTGATAAGTGAACAGTCGTCCTTATAGCTTTTTCATTCGTATTCTCTTATCTGCTCGTTGGTCCATTGTGATTCTTACAGTCTTATTATCACAGTCACTCAGGTCAGGTACTGAGGGGAATCCTATTCATGCCGTTATCGCTAAATGCAAGTCTTATATAAATGGGTGCATTTTACGTTCATCTATCAGTCATCCAAGATGAGGTTTCTAACAGTTGTTGTAATGTTAGCTCTTGTTATTTGTGCTGCCTGCAAAAATCATGAGGAGTTGAAAGGTCAACGACCAGGAGATTATAATCGCAGAACGTCCTCAAATCCCTATACCTAAGGCACTTCATGAAAAACAAACTGGAAATGCTGAGTTGGTTGCAAAATAAGCAATATAACACTGCTGAATTGATGAATAAAACAAAAAAACAAAAAAAAACTTTTTATAAATGAAGTAATTTGAAACTAATAAATATACACATTTACATTTGCAATAAAAATATTTCTGTTGTTTCTTGTATTAAGGTTTTCCGCACAGAAGGTACAATATAATTGTCTCCGTCAAATAAAAGTTATAGATAAGTGCTTATCTAATCATAAATATTCACATACGCATTTAAACTTATATATAAATGCTTAAAAATACATCCCACTAGCGCAATGTCTATTTATACGATCAAAAAAGTATTCAGTGCGCATTGGTTTCTTTTGGCCACTTTGTATTGCTAACGAGACTCTTTAATGTCATGACAATGCACTTCCTGAATTTCAATGAGTAGGTAACTACAGTAGGTGCAAAATAAAGTCCGTAAATGTTACCAAACCTTGTAAGGGCCAATAAAAGAGGCGTATTCACGACGGGGATGTAGCTCAGATGGTAGAGCCCTCGCTTAGCATGTGAGAGGTACGGGGATCGATGCCCCGCATCTCCAATTGGTTTTTTTAGTTTTTCTTAAGCCTAATCAAATATTTTAAGAGGATATTGAGGATTATTGAGGACATTCTTTAAAAGAACAATATTTTAAATAGCATGACTTCCCTTTTCATTTTACTTGTATGAAGTATTCCAATATGATAATTAGAATAGATATAACATTATGTTATTATGAATTAGTAAATAATTTCAATATTGAAATACGGATCCAGAAAAGTAAACAAAACTCAACATTTTCAGACAAACAAGGTGATGGAACAGCCTTTGGTATCAACCGGTCAATCCATCATTGCCATTAAGGCCACCAAGGAAGGAGTACGGAAGATCCTTGTGCTGGGATGCAAAGGAAACTTTGTCCAAATGCATGATGCGGGCAACGGATTGCTGCTGCGTCGCGTATTTATTGCAGAGGGCTTAAATATCTACAGTCTGCTTCTAGATGAAGGACACATGTATTGCGGAACGCAGAAAAACGAGATATATCAACTGGAGTTTGATGTAAGTTGTAAAATATGACTTTTATTGATTACTCATTGATATTATTGAATCCTACTGTTTTCCGTTTTAGACTGGAAACTTAGTCACCAAGTTTAGCTGTGGCAATGGCGCTGTTGCTGTTGCGTCCTATGGAGAGCGTTATTTGCTAGTCGGCTGTTACGATGGCTTTATTTACGTCCTAAACAAGATAACTGGAACTCAAGTGGGTCGTTTCGAGGGCGCTGGTCGCATGGTTTTAGCCCTTTCGGTTGCAGGCGATAAGGTAAGTTCAGTTATAATACTTCCAAGTTCAGATTTCAAATGTTTTACACCAATCTTACAGATCGTCACATCTTCTAAAGATAACTCGCTAGAAATCCTGGAGGTGCCCTCAGCATTGGTAAATGGCTATTAAAACGCGTATCATTATTTGTATAGATCTGTTTTAATTTAATAATTTTTACACACAAACTTGTTTGTATAATACAATTTAATGGTCTTAATCCTTGATCGCGGATTTATAATTCGTTCTCTGTATTTACAATTGAATATTTTATTTTTTTGTTAGCGCCCAATTGCATTTTTGCAATTGATCTACTTGAAGAATATTTCTTCGCCATGAACAAAGTATAAACGAATAAAAAGAGAACATCCAGTAAAATAATGATAATACGTAAGATGATGTTGAGTTTTGATTTGTCTTTAAGGAATTTGAGGAGCCCTCACTGGTCGCACGTTGGTCTGCATTTGATGTAGTTTCTGGTTGAGCTTGTGTGTGTGGTCACGCAGATAGGCGATAAGATCGGCCTGTTTCTCCAGAAGCTCTTCTGTGTCGCCTCCCGGTTGCATAAGGCCCAGGGAGCCTCCGGCACGGTCTGCACCGCGCAAAACATCCGGGGCCAGCTTGGCGCTGTTGAACTTACGCACCTTGTCTGGAATTGGTATAGACTTTTTAGTCATCTATGGCATTTTTACTAACAGAAATGACTGGGCTTTGACCAGAAATCTCTTGCTTTGGAACCACAAACAAGAACGAACTTCATTAGTGGTTGTATTGAAACATTTAAATTGCACCTACCTGGTTTATCTAAGCGGTTTGACTCATTTATTGCAAATTACAAGAAAAAGCAAAATCACTTAAAGAAACAATTACGTGTCAGCTCCTTAATCATTTTTAGAAAATTACCTACCCTACCCAACTACTATATTATGACATAATATAAAATACTCATTTCCCTAAGCTTTCCGCCTTAAAATCTTGATGAGTAAAGAGTTGCTCATCATCAGTCTATTGAAAAATATAGATGTGAATAGGAAAAAGTACAAGGCAATGCAATGGCAGCTCTTGACATGCAAAATAAAAGTCCTAACATGCCACTTTGTAGATTTCAAGTTATTTCCTTACCAATATATAAGCTGTGGGAAACGGCCAGCACCAGATTCTCGGCCACGGTGAAGGCGGTGACATAGCTGACTGGCGACAACCAGCCTGCTGCGCAGTGTTCCCAGAAGTTCTCCGCATAGAAGTGGTGGATCAGGGCCTGGACAGCAAGCAGCATGGAGTTCCACAGGGATACAAGCTGGAGGGGAATACCCTTCTGCATATTTGTCTCGCGGTGGAAATCGTGATAACCCTGCATGCGTAGATTGTCGTGTTGCTTTTTTACAAAGTGATCGAAGAGCTGTAAAAAGCGTTGACATTGATGCAGGTCGGGATTGACGGACTACTGATTGGTATATTTACATATGTGATGACCCAGAAGGTGGCCCGTAGGTAGAGCATTATAAAGTAGGCATCGCAACGCCGATCCGTTGGAAACACGGCCGCCAGTACAATCCCCACAATAGAGATTGCAGTGGAGATAGCCAGATGAAGGCTACGGGAGGACAGAAAATGAATTATGTTATGTGCATTATCGGTCGTTTGAAAACGCCATGGATGATTCACTGCCGCCGGCAGAAGTGTACATAGTTTGCCCTTTTCCCCGTACTCCTCATATAATCTCACCTAAATGCGGGGACTGTATTCAGCTTGTAGCTTCCATTGTCGTTGGAGAAAAGGACGGGGTCCAGGAGCTGATCCGTGTCGTGTATGTGCGCTGGGGATACGCCCGGTTGGACAGCGGCGCCTCCTGTTGCTGGTTGATCCATTTGCTCTGCTCTGGAATGCGTAGTTTTCGAATTATTGCTGCTTTGTTTATTAGTCGGCAGGAAAACAACACTTATTTTCCTTGGATATGGCAGCATTACCAAGATATGACTTTTTCCAGGGTGGCAGCTCTGGGATGCGGTGGGAAACAAGGCAACCCTAAGATGTAAACAAAAAACTTGCTGTTAGAATTTGAAAAAGTTATTTATTTATGAAACATTAAATATTTTATGCTACAACTATAAAATTTGTCATGCTTGCATGTTGTCAAGTTAAACTATTTAATTTGTTTTTAAAAAAACCTAGTCTCTTATTATTTAAGTATTTACCAATTTTAATGGATCTATTCTGCGCGCCTCGGATGTTTTAAATTTTGAACTTCGGTCACACTGAATAAAAAACAAATTTAAACCACGAATTTGGATTGCAATTGGATCGTTCATTGTTTGTCGGGCAAAATAAACCAGATTGCAAGATGACCACGCCTGTGCCTCGCCGCACCAAGGACATGATGGCACTGGGACTGGATTCCGACTCGGAGGACGACTTTAACACGCCATACCGACCTCGGCAAGTGGCGGCGGGAGAACGAAAACAGCAGCCGGTGGCGTCTTTCCAAGTTCCAACGAGGGGCAAGGAGAATGAGCCGCATCCCCTGCCCACAAATATGCTGTAAGGACTGGGACTGCAATGTCCAGTATCACATAATACTGTTCCCTGTAACCTATAAGCCCCTGATTTTGCAAGGATCTCATATCACTCATATCACTATAATGGCTTCTATATTCCATGGATTCTTTGAGAAAGATCCCTTTTGGGATCCACTGTCTGAAGTTATTTTCTTTCCTTGTTGGCCTTTTCCTCGAGACAAACCTTTATCTTTTAAATTCAGTATACGCCTTGAAAGTCAAACTCAGCTCAGTTTGCCGCTCGTAGACACAAGGACAAGGAAAAGATTTCTGTGATCACCTAGAAATGGTTATTAATTCTACAGTCAACGTTTTTATTGATTCTAGACCTCGGCGAGTCTCCGAGTTGACTATGATGGATTCGGACAGTGACGAGGAGGACATTAAGAGCAATCACAACCTTAACTGCGCCATTCTAAACGATTCCTTTGTACTGAGCCCATCCCAAGAGTTGACAAACAGCAACGGCAACGTAACCACTCGTAGAACATCCAATGCCGCCCCCCTCAAGCAATCCGACTCGAATCTGTCGTTCCTGGGACGATTCAGCGACATGGGCATCAACTGCTCCAGCCAAGGATCACCTACTGCGAATTCGGAAAAAAAGGTGGCCAAAAAGACAGCGTCAACGCTTCAAGCTGTACCAAATGCCATCGAAAGACGCCCACTCCAAGAGGCAGAGACGCCACTGCGCAATGAAATAGCCTCCTCCGCGAAGACGAAGCCGGATGCAGACTTCGTCACCCCTCAAGTGCGAACTATTGGTTCCACTCTGGCTGGAAAATGTCGGAGTGCGGTGTCCAATGATTTCCGTGCGCAGAAAGTGCTCTTCCAAACACCCATGACCGTGAGTCGTGCTGCTCCAGTGGCCTCTAATAGCATAAGCTTCTCCCTGTGCGACACCATCACGGAAAGTCCCGACATTCCAGAGCCGCCAAAAAAGGCTGAACCCCCAAAGAGTCAGCACCCCTCCAAGAAGTCCCTAGATAATGTTTTCCGGGAGTCGGAAAAAGACAACGTGCCAGCCGAAGTAGATATTGTGGAATCAAAGGAGATGCTGTCGATTCCCACAGTTACTGTCCATCCGGAGCCGCCTTCCCAATCTACCAAGGCATCTAATATTTTAAAAATCAAGAATCATGAGTACACTATTGATAAGAAACTGGGCTGTGGTGGTTCCAGCTCTGTTTATTTGGCACGTCGATCGGATTCTGGAGATGAGTTCGCCCTGAAGGTGGTGGATCTGCAGGCCGATCCACAAGTGGTGCAGGGATATCTAAACGAAACCAAACTCCTGGCAAAGCTGCAAGGAAACGTTTGTGTTGTGGCACTTTACGATTAGTAAATATTCTTAACTTCTAACTTTTTGGTAACGTCACTGACACGGTTTTTTTTATTTAGTCAACTTGTGCGCGAAGAGTCCAAGCTGTACATGGTGATGGAGAAGGGCGACTGCGACCTGAACAAGATCCTTCAGAGCTACACCACCAACCTTCCTCTCTATAGCCTGATGAACATCCTCTACCAAATGCTGCAAGCGGTCAACTACATCCACCAGAACGGTGTCATTCATTCGGATCTTAAGCCGGCTAATTTCCTGATGGTTAGCGGCAGACTGAAGCTAATCGATTTTGGCATAGCCAGCAATATCTCTTTGGACTCGACGAGCATTATCAAATTCTCACAAGCGGGCACCTTTAACTACATTAGTCCGGAGGCGTTGACGGACACCTCGACGGGAAATAGTCCGATGCGCGGAGCCAATCAACCCAAGATCAAGATCTCAACCAAGTCGGACGTGTGGTCGCTGGGCTGCATCCTTTACCTGCTGCTCTACCAAAAGACACCGTTCGGCCACATCCGAAACATCTATGCCAAGATGAGCGCCATCGCCACTCCGGGCACCAGCATCGAGTATCCCGTCATTCCTCCCTACTATCCCATCATGCTGGTTCATGTGAGTTGGGCGGGTTGAGGCATCATGTTTACATTTTTTTTAACTAATAGTAGAATATAATGAATCCAAGCTTACAATTATCTCGGCTCTATTTGCAGATGGCCAAGAACTGCCTTCAGCTGAATCCCAAAAAGCGGCCGTCGTGCACCGAACTACTGCAGTACCCATTCCATATGATCATTCCGCTACAGAACCTGCAGATTCCCAGCAGAACCGCCACCAGCAATTAAGCACGAAAGCTCAGCTATTTATTAGTGAAATGTCAAAGGTCAAATGTCTTTCTCATATGTGTGTGTATATATTTAATTCTCATTTATCGTAAATTAAACATCATAAATCCTTATAATGCTGCTATAGCTCGTTCTTTTGTTTGTTGTGGTTGCTGATGGGCTTGAATTTGTTGGTTTGCCTAATATTTCAGTATGTCGCATGCAACAGGTTCCGACACTAAATTGCTAGTTAGCATTCGTGTTTAATTTGCGTTTACTTATAAGATAGGTTCTCATTTAGTTTTATATAAAAATAGTTATTTTCTTGTTTATATACGCTTAATTAAATGTTGCTGCTGCCTTTTGCTCTTCCTGGGGTTAAATACTTTGCGCAGCCTGGCGGCGGAAAATGAAAAGATTACAGAAAACAGAAAACATTAATGGAAAACATACATAATTCACAGTGACCCAAGTACAAGTGCATACATTCATACTGTTT